ATATTGACGTTACTTCAGAAATTATTTGGAAAAAATCGAAATAAAAATGAAACTTCCACACCCTGTATCTCCGAAACTAAGCATTTTAGGTTAGGACATATATTTATACGGACTTTTTTGCTTATTTTTATTTGCAGAATATCGCCACCTCAAGGAAGGCAATGGCAAACTACCTTGAGTATATTTGCCTTGTACAGCCTCTCAAATAGTGCCGTTCGGATTCGGCGATAAATTGTAGGTCCCGTGTACTTGTGAAACACTGATGACACACATCACAAGTACATGCGAGAGGTAGCCAACGCTCTGTATAGAGTATGTAACTGTAAGAAGAAGAAGATATAAATATACTAACTTTAATTCGCAAACTCGGTTTTTTCTAAACTTTAGTATTTGGCTTATACTGGGTTAATCGACCGGTGGTTTTTTAACATCCTATGCAATAATTTCGTGGGCAATTTTTCCGAAAACATTATTTTGTAGCCAGAACCGTGATTCCTGAGCCGTTGTTTTTTTATTCATGTTAGCACATACCAGGTTAATTTTAAGGGCGAAATAAACTTGACTCCAGCAATCTGCAGTTATTTCAATTATCATTAGTTTTTGATGTTTTTTTATAACGAGGTGGCTTCGGTAACTATTGTCAGAATGGCATATTGAACAGTTACATTTTGTTTACTTACGATTCGACAAACTGTTAAAACCTCGGTTAATACACTCACATTCTTGGTTCGAACTTCCTGTGTTTTAAAGTTAGGGTAAAAATCAACCCTTCGATTAACCCTGGACAAATTAGTTGGTGAATGGCATTGTGTCGATTCACTAATTAATAGAATTCATAAATACTCCTGAATTTATCTAGTCTTGGCTGTTTATGGGGATATGTTAAAGGCAGTGTTAACAAAACTCGACCAACTATTGTCGACATGAGAGAAACGGCTATGGCTGTTTTTCGAAGTAGAACTCCACGTATGCCTTTTAACATGAAAAGATCTTTTGAAAAGAGAATTACTTTATGCAGTAAACAGGAAAGGAAGCATTTTGAGCATTTGATTTCATCTAGCTAATTTTTGTTACGTTATTATAAGTTTATATCTAGTTTTAATTTTATGATAATTAAGATGTGTCTTAAACTTATCTTTTTATTACAGTATTTTACCCTACATTCTTTGTTGAATGAACACAGCCACCCTAGATTTTTTCAAATAATATAGATCTACTGTCGTAAAATCATAAAAATTAAAATATCTAGGAAACTCTTTGTTTGAGGGATAGGCAACCTTAATAATATTTTGAAGATATATGCATTGAACACCGGAATAATATAGTGGGTGTTCCATTTAAAATAAAGGTGTAACCTGCTTTTAAAAGTGACCAATGTTCAATATTAGTTTTGTCTCACCCTGTATAACTTTTTGTGTCAAATTTTAATTTGGTTTTTAAATCCAATGGTTATTGTAATTAAATATTAGGCTATGCAGGGTAAATTACAATTTAGATAGCTGTTATTGAAATTTAAATTTTATTCTTCATTTTCACAAAATGTGAAATATGTCAAAATCCTTACATTTTAGACATATGCTTTTTTAATAAAGCTCACCTTTAGTTTTTTCCTAGAATCCCAAGAATCAATTAATATATAGTACACTATTACAAGAAACACAACTTTGATGTGTAACTTTTTTGGGGACAGCCTGTATAACTATATATATTTTTATAAAATTCTTTCAATTAACCTACATAAGCTCCCAAAGTTTTATTTCGATATTTTAAACTACCGTTCTCCCTGGAGCCTCCGCGTCGTATGAGAGGCGTCAATAAAATGTAATGATTTAGACATTATTTCAAATGAAAAATAAAATTTTTAATTTTTCAATAAGAGCTATTTAAATTGTATAAGCCAAATACTAAAATTTGTAAAAAATCTGAGAGATATATGTATAAACAATTTGGAAAAAAAATCATTAAAATAAGGCTAAAATTTAAAAAATAATACTTAATTTGACGAAAAAAATTTTCCCCTGCGTTTTTAGCAGCTTATATATAAAGGCGGACTCTTACGAACATTTATTGGGATATACAGATAGCATACTTGTCAAGTACACAAATATTGGCGTTTTTGTAGTACATAATAATATTTAATGTTTTTAAGTAGTCGAAAGCGGTGTATGGGTTGATAATATATCAAAACATATTCAAGTGAAAGGTAAATAATTTTTTAAACGCTCGAATATAATCTGCGAAATTCCATTGTCCTTATCAAAATACTTTACTCATCAGCAGGTGAAATTAAATCGATATTGTTGTTAGTTAATTAAATATGGCGGCTCAATGGTCTAGGGGTATGATTCTCGCTTTGGGTGCGAGAGGTCCCGGGTTCAAATCCCGGTTGAGCCCATATTTTTTGACAAATATAATAAAAAAATATATTTTTATATAAAATAATACCTCAGTGTTTGTTATATGTATAGACAAAAAAAAATACTTTTCGGTCGCATGTCGCATTTTTCATTATTAAATTACTAGTAATAAAGGAACCTGCACACACACACAATGTTTTGATTGGGTAGTAATTTTATGAGTAGTACCGATTGTTCCATTAACTCCCTTCTTTCTGTCAGCCCTTGTATATTTTTGCAAGACTGCACTTAACTGCAAAATCAAAGTCCTAATAACTTTCTCTTCGATTTTTTATACATGTTGATTTGAGTCTACATAATTTTTTTCTTCGATATTCTTCTTCTTCTGCTGCTATCCATTAATGGATGTTTGCGATCAGTTCTGACCATCTTTCTCTCTCTCCGGTGGCGTGAATTAATTCTCCTGTAGTTCTTATTCCCGTCCAATGTTTAACATTTCGGAGCCACGACATCCTCTTCCTGCCCAATCCCCTTCTTCCTTCTATCTTTCCTTCTATTATAGTTGGAGTAAATGGTATCTCTCATTGCGCATAACATGTCCCAGGTACGCTGTTTTTCTGCGTTTTATTGTGCTTAGCAGTTCACGCTCTCTCCCCATCCTCCTCAGGATTTCCTCGTTGGTCTCTCTTGCTGTCCATGGGATTTTCAAGATTCTTCTGTAGACCCACATCTCGAACGCTTCCAGCCTGTTCATGTTTCTGACTTTCAATGTCCAGCCTTCCATACCATATAGTAACACGGACCATACGTAACATTTTGTAAATCTTACTCTAAGGTCAAGGTCAAAGTCAGAGTTGGTTAAGACGTTTTTAAATTTCATAAATGCGCTCCTCGCTTTTTCTATACGGCACTTGATTTCCACGTCCGAAGACCAGTCTTCACATACCCAAGTTCCCAGATAGCTGAACTTTTTTACCCGTTCTATGTCTTCCCCATTGTGCGTTAGTCTTGCATTCTGGTAGTCATCTGGTTTGCGGGTAACTATTAGGAATTTTGTCTTTTTTGTGTTGATGTCAATTCCCATACGTCGGCTGTGTATTCCAATCATGTCCAAGAGTGTTTGGAGGTCATTCATGTTATCCGCTATCAGGACTGTGTCATCTGCGTACCGTATATTGTTGATCCGTATGCCATTTACTTTGATGCCTATTTCTTGTCCTTCGAGCGCTTCTTGGAAGATGTTTTCTGAGTATAGGTTAAACAGGAGTGGGGAGAGGACACATCCCTGTCTTACGCCTCTAAAAATTTGCTGTGCTCCTGTAATTTCATTGTCAACCCTAACTGCAGCTGATTGGTTCCAGTACAAGTTCTCAATACAGCGCACATCCTTCTGGTCTATGTCTAGCCGTCTCAGTATTTGAACGAGTTTCTGATGTCGTACTCTATCGAACGCTTTTTCGTAATCTATGAAGCACATTGCTACGTCCTTTCTCTGGTCGTAGCAGTTTTGGACCAACACCTGGGTTGCGACCAGTGCCTCTCTTGTACCTAGGCCCCTTCTAAATCCGAATTGAGAGGATCCAACAGCACTTTCGCATTTTGTGGAAATTCTGTAATGAATGACCTTCAGAAATATTTTCAGAGTGTGGCTCATTAAACTGATTAATCTGTGGTCTTCACACCTTGTTGTATTGTTTTTCTTTGGAAGTGGTACGAAAAGAGATGTAAGCCATTTAGATGGGAAATTTCCTGTATTGTAAATTTGGTTGAAGAGCCTTTGCATTATTTTAATACCTTCGTTGTCCAGTAGTTTGAGCAGTTCAACAGGCACTTGATCTGGTCCCACCGCCTTCTTATCTTTGGAGCTATTTATTGCTCTAGTAATCTCTTCTATTGTGATTGACGGTCCAGTCAGATCATCTTCTAGGTTATCCTTCAGCTGAGGTCTTTCATCTGCAAAGAGGCTGCCAATATATTGTTCCCAGATAGATTTTCTCTGTGCGTTATCTTGTGCCATTTGTCCTTTTTCATTTTGTATGTTGGAGAAAGTCTGCTTCCTATATACTCCAGCTGCTTCTTTTATTTTCTTATGTAGGTTATAGTCATCGTTCTGCTTTTGTAAACGTTCCATTTCTTCGCACTGTTCTCTCAGCCATTTATTTTTTGCTGATCTTACTGCCCTTCTTATAGTATTTTGCAGCGTTCTATATTTATCTCGACTGCCTTGATTCTTGTACTTCCTTCTTTCTTCAAACATTTTTAGTATTTCATTTGTCATCCAATTTTTCCTTTTGATGTTTTGTCTATATCCTATTTCCGTTCTTGCTGTATTCATCATTATTTCTTCCATGCTGTCCCATGTGTTATTAGGATTCGTCTCTTCAGTTGGCTGTGGTATGACTAATGTTGCCAGCGCTTCATTTAATTTTTTGCTTACATTATCTTTTATGCATTCGTTTTTAAGTTTTTCATAGTCTATTCTTGGTTCTTGCTTTTGTTTTCTTCCGTTGGTGATTTTAATTTTTATTTCTGTTATAAGAAGGACGTGATCAGATGGGACGTCGGCTCCCGGGTATGTACACGTTCTTGTTACTGATGTTCCAAAACGTTTATTGATTAAAATGTAGTCTATTTGATTTCTGATTAGGTGTTCGGGATTGTCTGCTGGTGCTCTCCATGTGTATAGACTCTGGGTGGCAGTCTAAACCAGGTGTTTGTTATTTTCATCTGTTCTTCTTGACAAAATTGGTATAGCCGTTCGCCTCGTTCATTTCTCTCTCCCAATCCATAAGGGCCCACCAGTTCGTCTCGTATTCCTTTTCCAACCTTGGCGTTGAAGTCACCCAATATGAGGTTCATTTCATGTTTTTTAACGTTTGCCTGTGTTACTTGTCTTAGTTCTTCATAAAACCCTTCGACTTCATCTTCTGGTGCGTCTGAGGTGGGGGCGTACACCTGAATGATATTAAGATTGACTGGATGTGCTTTCAGTTTAAGCAGCGCAATGCGATCGGAATGTGGCAGGAAGTTAATTATTGACGAGGATATTTTTTCTGGAATTATTATTCCAACCCCTTTACGATGGTTTTTGTCTTGGTTTCCTGAATAGAAAAGAACTTTTCCCTGCGTTACACATTTTCCTACGTCTGGCCACCATGTTTCTGCCACCCCCAGAATATCTATTTTCAGCCTGTCCATTTCTTGCATTAAGTTAGCCAATTTCCCAGCTTCATATAGACTTTGTACGTTCCATGTACCAATCTTCATCCTATTTCGCAAATTCACCCTGATTTCATTGTTTTTATCATTTAACGCTGTTCCCCCCGGAGATCCGATTGGGGAACTATTTTTACCTCCGGAAAATTTCGAGTTAAATGAGGTCATTTTGATTCTCTTGGGATATCTTGGTGATCTTTAATACAGTGGTTTCCCGTTGGCTTCTGTATTCTTATGCCGTTGACCTGCCTCATGGTTCATCCGCCTTTAGGTCCAGTTTCCCAAACCCAGGACAAAAGAGTGCCCTTCCATTTACTAGCTCCTCCACCCGAGGCTGTTGGCCAGTAAATGGGGATTGCTTATACCGGCAATCATTCGGACGTCAGAGCCTCGTCAGTCATCTAACAGGGAGTACCGGGTAATTAATTACCACTCGTGAAGGTGAGGTTGACATTTGAATAGGAGAGGCTATTTGAGACGCATCCTATCCCAAACTCCCCCTTCGATATTAGGAGAGACCTAATCTTAAATTGAAAACCGCGATGTAACTGTAGTTTAAAACCTGTGTAGCTACTGTAATTTTGGAGTTGCGATTTTTCAAAATGTTTAACCCCCTCCCATACCCCCTTACCAAATACTCCATTACCCCCCACCCCCACCAAAAACTAATGGCCAAATTCTCGGGTGCCACAGCATTTTTGTGCCAAATTTGGTTAAAATTGGTTTAGCGGTTTTTGAGTTATCGTGTTACAGACAGACGGACAGACAGCAGACAGATATACAGACACCATGAAAATATTTTGTACTTAGGTCATTTATGACCCAAATAACTCATTTTGAGTGAAATTAAAAAAACGTTTTTTTTGCCGATCTTAATAGCATATCATACCTGTTGGTATGGTCGGCTAAAAATATCTCTTTGTAAAAATCGCTACGAGCAACCGATCTCAAGATATTTAGAATGGAAATAGTCAATGCATGTCATTATTGACGAAAAATAAACACGTTGAGTATATATAGTTATTTCATTGAAATAATAAATTTGGGAAATTTTTATTTTTTTAAATTAATCATAATTTTTTCTGCAAAAAAATGATGACAAAACAGTTTCTGTTGAACTCTTGGCACAAAAACATTTCAAATTTATGATCTCAGTCTAATAACTATTTAGTCAACATGTTTAATTTATGTTAATGATGACAGGTATTGATAATTTCGATTCCAAATAGACCTTTTTTACGTAAAAAATGTCGCAAATGTATATTTTTTTTACTCAGTAGTTTTATACAGGTACGGACGAAAAGTCATTACTCGTCAAACCAGTTAAAAAATATGTAGGTGGCGCCCTCTACTAATAGGAGTCATATTGACTTCAAAATCAAATTTCTCATGTCAAAAAACTCCCAGACATCAATTATTTTCATCAAAATATTGGCGTTACTTCAGAAATTATTTGGAATAAATCGAAATAAAAATGAAACTTCTACACCCTGTATTTCCAAAACTGAGCATTTTAGAACATATATTTATACGAACTTTTTTAATTATTTTTATCTGCACAATATGCTGCCGAAGATTCCGGAATACAGTTCGGATCACCCTGTGTAAAAAATATAAATAAACACCTACTTTATATTGAGAAATCTTCTAACACGATACTTTGAACTAAAGTTAAACGCGTGAGCATTGATGGACATAACTTATACTACCGAATGACCATATTAAATAGGGACTTATTACCAACTTGTCCGTTAGATGGCGTAAGTGAGAATGGAAAAATGCGAGGGATGATTTGACCCCGGAGGATCTTTGTCCCGGTCTCCCCTATCTGAATAAGAAAAAGAACCATTTTTGTAAACTTTCCAGTAAATACTAGAGATCAGGGAAAATTAGCAATTACTAGTAAAAGCTCACATTCACTGATTTGTTAACACTATGCCAGTAAAAGTTCAACAATTAATTTTGAAACAATCTTTTTATAGTTAGTAGAAGTATTCACTAGAACTTACTTACTAGTGAATTCTAGCATACAAATTTGTTTTGCTTTTTGCCTCTATCTTCTAGCAGCTGCTCCTAAGCTACTATCCAGAACTTACAACCAGAGCCGACCGATACAGCAGCTGACTGAAAATTTGAACAAATTTGAACAAAAAGTGTAACATTTAGTGTGAAAAGACATTCAAAGCAATCAAATTCGTATTAGTGTTAAAAAAAGTGACCTAGGGAATCAAAAAACAAAGGATAAAACCGAAGCAATCAAATATTTATCATTTGAGCGACTTTGTGTCTATTGAGAGTCAGTTACTCGGTCGCGGCTTCATGTTTTTGAGATTATGTATAAAAGAAAATATTTTAATTTTGGCATTTCTGTTTTGATATCGTTTTCTTGATATTTTAAGATGACTACCTATGTTTTTAAAAGCTTTGTTTGCTCAATCCACCAACTCGCAATTGCTTTTGGTGACAATCTTTAGTAACTATTACTCTCGCAACTCGAGGGAGGAGGGTCATGGTCAGGTCCTCATAATAGGAATTGATCTCAAATTCAAGGAGGCAATAGAGAAAGAGGAACATATCCTCTATTATAGATACGGGACAACATCGGTATCAGGTCTCAAGAGAGACCAAGGCAAAGAGGTGGAGTAAATGGAGACAGGTCCTCCAGCCTACACCTCACGGGTGCCTCAGCCGTTCATCGACTGTAAAGGGCACGGAGGGGCAAATTCCAACCGTGGAAGGGTGTGTACCCTCGGAGGAAGGACCTCTGTAGTCAGAGGAGAATAGAAAATACCCTGTCCCCCTACAACAGGGGTATGATGAGTTATAGACTGTGTGATGAGTTGTAACTCAAGGAAGGGGGGCACAATAGATCTTTAAGGTCGCAGTGATTAACCCCCCTTTTCACTCATTCTTCATTCTACAACTATTGCTCTCACTAGCAATCGCTAATAATAATTACTACTAGACGATGACAAATTACTTTAAGATATACCTCGAGATATACTTAAGATATTTTAAGATATGACACCCACTGGTCTAGTTTGTAATTGTTAGCATTTCCTAGTCACTGTTAATATTTACAGGATTTTTGAATTTATCAGTAACAGATATAATACCAGCATTATATAATTCTAGTACATGTTGTTTTAATTAATCTGCAACAACCATCCAATAAATATCCCCTTTCCCATCGCTTTATCGCTCATATTTTTCCCTTTCCGGCAAAAGGTTTTTAGATATCGATCTCGCTAGTTTTATTGGCCCCATCCCCGGGCCCCAATTTCGCGGTTAGCATTCCGCAGCCGGCTACGATTCCATTCCCTTGTCAAGTTTAACCGAGAATTATTTCGCGTTCCGTCGCTATTTCACCGAATCATTTCTGGATCTCGGCCTCGACGGGAGTTTGTTTTCACCGACCGCGCTTTTCCTGGTTTTCCCTCTCTCTGCACCGTTGTGGGATTTTTTTAGGTACGAGTTTAACGGCCACGCAGAAATTCGTAATATTCGCGTTTTGGGGGTAATTTTTGCGGCCTTGTTTTAGCGTATAAATATTTACGCGGTTATGTAGGTGTAGAAAACACATAAGTAAATATTTGCTTGGAGTTTTTTAATACTTTTTAGTGTAGAAGGATAATCAGTATCAATAAATGTGGTAGAATTGAATATCATAAGATTTACGATACGACTGTACGTACCACCAACTTAGTAGGCTAGGAATTATTCTACCTATAAATTTACAACACCATTTTTAGGCGTGGTAACCATGTAAAGAAAAAGGTTTTGAAGATAAGAAGAACAAAATCCCGTGGCATCTAGGTAGTAGAGGTTTGTGAGTTCTGGTGGGCACAGTCTCCACAAGAACTAACCTATTTTTTTGTACATAAAGTATATTCTTCTAATTCTCATGCTAGAAATGACTAGAATTATTTCATCGCATAAGTGATAATATTAAAAAAATATTATCATACGCTCAATTATATACCTCTATTTCTTCCCATATACAGTGTGGTCCAAACTCTATTCCGGAAACTTCGACAGCATATTCTGCAGATAAAAATAAGTAAAAAAGTTCGTATAAATGTATGTCCTAAAATGCTTTGTTTCGGAGGTACAGGGTGTAGAGGTTTAATTTTTATTTCGAGATTTTTTCCAAATAATTTATGAAGTAACGTCTATAATTGATGTGTGGGAGTTTTTTGACATTAAAAATTTGAATTTCAAGTCAATATGACTCCTACTTGTAGAGGGCGCCACCTATATTATTTAACTGGTTTGAAGAGTAATAACTTTTCGTCCGTACCTGTATAAACCTACTGAGTAAAAAATATATTTACGATTTTTGCTACGTAAAAAAGATCTCTTGGTAAAAATCGCGTCAAGTAATGGTTCTAGAGATATTTGAAATCGAAATTATCAATACCTCATCATTGTCATCATTGACATAAATTAAACATGTTAATTAACTAGTTTAATAACTAAAAAAATCATTTCATAAATTTGAAATGTTTTTGTGTCAAAAGTTAAAGAGAAACTGTTTTATTATCATTTTTTGGCAGAAAAATTTATGATTGATTTAAAAAAAATGTAAAATTTATTATTTCAGTCAAAGAACTATCTACTCAACGTGTTTATTTTTAGTCAATAATGACATGTATTGAATATTTCCATTCTAAATATCTTGAGAATGGTTGCTCGTAGCGATACTACTAGCCTGTTCTATTATCATTCATATTTTATTTCTGTTTGTCCAATTGTTGTTGATATAACATCCTAGGTACTTGAAATTGTTAACTTGTTCCAGATACAGACCGCCTATGTGAATAAGTGCATCTATATCGAGGGTTCTGATAATTACCATCACGTTGGTCTTATGGATATTAATGTCCAGGCCCGCTTCCGTGCAAGATTCAACGACGCTGTTTTCAATATTATTTGCAGTTGTTCAAGGCTAGTTGTCAGGAGGACCGTATCATCTGCATACTTACAAGTTATTGATCATTTCAGTCTTCCTCTCCATTCACAACAAATCCCTGCCTTAATCCATCCAGTGCGCTTCTGAAAATACTTTCAGAATAAACACTGAACAGGGTAGGGAAGAGAATGCAACACCCTTCTTTAGTGTACACTTATGGATGATACAGTTACCACTTTGTAAGAGATGATCACTA